TGCTTCCGACAAAATCTTTAAGAGTTTACAAAATCTTGTACTAAAAATTTTAGTACACGAAAATAGTACTAAAAGTTTTAGTACATTATAAAGAAAGTAAATTTTTTGTGCTTAAAATATTATAACACCTCATTTAGTAAAGAAAAAACCACACTTATATTTATATATATTATATTTATATATATTTTAAATTTAACTATCGTATATAATTAAGCAAAGTTTTCAATGTGCTAAACTTTGTTTAATAATTTATATATGTTTTTTTTAGTACATTAAAAATTTTTAGTACAACAAAAGTTTTAATATTATTTATTGAACATTTTCTAATTTTTATTTTTAACACACAGCAAAATTGTTTTTTTTTTTTTTGGTTTCCTGACATTTTCGACAATTTGATAAATATTTCATTTATATGTCAGTCAAAATTTTGTTAATGTCAAAAAAGTTTCCATACACTTACGTATGTATATATGTAAATACAATACATACGATAGCACCCTCCATAATTTTCTTATTATTTTAAAAGAGTTTTGCAACATTCAGCACAAATTTACACCAATACATATGTACATAAGTAGCGCATGCATATAAATATATTGCAATTGATTGACATGCTTACTCCTTTATCAAGCCACATTCCTTAAAATCTACTTCTCGCCTTTCTTCCAGTTGTCGTCGAAATAAAATTCGCTCTGTTTTCAATTGCTTTCGAGCGCTTAAGAACGCATTTGTTTCATACTTATATATGGATTGTTGTATACTCTCAGCCGTTGTCATTCTTTGTGTCGTCCTTTGAACGATCCGCATATCGAAATGTGACAAGAAGATTAAATTTTTCGCCGCCTGTAATGTTTACGGAAAGAAATGTGCCGAATGCGAACGCTCGTAAGGGAATGATGAAGCAAGCATATACAGCAGCTGCTAGTGAGCGTTTGTGTATGTGTCTACACATCAAAAGTTGACAGCGAAAACAATATAAAATAACGATAAGAACAGCGAGTAGCAAATAGAGTGTGTTTGCTGTTTGAATAAGGTTTATGAAAACAATCAAGCGAAACGTCGATCTGCCTCCTAAACTGACTGAGTACCGTGCTGACGGACTAAATAGCAAACTAAATGGCTGGAAGTATGTGTAGCTAATCCGCTTATTTGTGTGTGGATTATGTTCGTATTAGTAACTTCTTGCCTGCGACAGCTGGCAAATGCCCATCAACGATTACTTCCGAAGCCGATTAAAGCAGAAAAACCCAATAAGCGTGACATATTTTCAAAATCTACAGCTTATCAACGCAATTGACATTCAAAATAAATAATTATTCTAATTATCATAGTTTGAAAAAAAATTCAGAACTGAAGCTAATCGCTAATCGCTTCAATTTTTCAAATCATTACTTGTTTTATATTTTTTTATTTTATTTTGTTTGGTTTTATGATATTCTAATTTTTTAATATGAAAAAGTAGTTTATTTTTGAATTTATGTATTTATTATATATTAATTTATTTCATTTCATTTTGTTTTATTTTATTTTATTATATTTTAAGGTTTATTTTTTAATTATTTTATTTTAATTAATATTATTTTATATTAATTAATATTATTTTAATTTACTAATTCTATTTTATTTTATTTTAGTTTATTTTATTTTATTTTATTTTATTTTAGTTTAGTTTATATTATTTTATTTTATTTTATTCTATTTTATTTTATTTTATTTTATTTTTTTTTTATTTAATTTAATTTTATATTTTATTTTATTTGATTTTATTTTATTTTTTTTTTATTTAATTTAATTTTATATTTTATTTTATTTGATTTTATTTTATTTTGTTTTATTTATTTTATTTTATTTTATTTTATTTTATTTTATTTTATTTTATTTTATTTTATTTTATTTTATTTTATTTTATTTTATTTTATTTTATTTTATTTTATTTTATTTTATTTTATTTTATTTTATTTTATTTTTTTTTTATTTTATTTTATTTTATTTTATTTTGTTTTATTTTGTTTTATTTTATTTTATTTTATTTATGTTATTTTATTTTATTTTATATTTACCTGCATGTTATATGTACACAAATACAAATGTACATATATAATACGTATTCAAATGCTCTTATCTTTTATATGATTGTATTTCATTGCATTTTCTTAAGTGCTTTCTTGTGCTATTTGAATAAATTTCTTCAGTATATTTGCATTCATATGTATGTATATGTTTATGTATGTATGTATTTATATGTAAATTACTCAGATATGTATATCACTTAAATTGACAAGTAAACAAGTGGACCGAAACAAATGCAAGCGAAATGTATTCAAGGAGAGGCCTGAGTGTCTATACTATTTTTGTCGCATACAATAACTAAACAAATAAATAATCACTCTGTTGAAAGAAAACGAAAACATATCTTAGTTTTGAGAGGTAAGTAAGTGATTAAATGGAAATGCATATGTATGCTTGACGCATACGCATATATTTTTCTTGCAGTCCTTCAAGAGCATGATTCAAAATTTAAATAAAGTTGTTATGCTATGTGAAATCATTAATTTTTGCGGTATCAGATTTTCTTGAAAAAATAGTTAAAAATGCTAGAGGTTAATTAGATGTTGTCGTTTTCAATCAAATTTGTACAGAAGTCTCGAGTTTTTCGGTCAAATATATTTTGTTGTTATACATATATATATATATGTGTATATATATATCAAAATCACAATGGGAAATAAAAATTATATAGAGAAAGTATTGTATAATCGATATTCTAGTGAATTTTATAAAGCAAATAAAAGAAAACAATTCAGACTCAATTTCCGAATTAAATTGTCTCCAGCGTACTTTCAACAGCAATTTGGATTTGCTTAAAGTGAGATCTATATATTTATATTACATTTCTATATAAATGCGTATATTCCCGCGTTTAACTCGATATAATACTCTAAAGCTCCAAAGCTGTGCAGCCTTTATTGCAGTTCTATAATTAAAGCGTCATCAGCGTTAGCATTTTAGTGCCTAAGTAATAAACTCTAGAATCGTATGTAACTATTTCAGGAAATAATTGTTGTTGAAGAAAATGAGAGATTTATAAATATTAATTGTATGTATTTAAATGGCTTAATGTGAGCGTAAAACCAAAAATATAGTGGTGATTCACTATTAAGAAAAAAAAAATATTTCTAAATCAAAATCACTTGATATAAAATCACTATTTGTTTTTATCTAAAATTTTATGTACCGTGAAAGCATTTTTATGGTAGGAAAAAGCTATTTCAGTTTCATGAAAATTCATGAAAACTTCTCAAGAAAAAATGAAAGCTTTTTCGAACGCAAATAACTTTTAAAAACTTGTTTATAGTAAAGGAAATTTATAATTGGCGTTGGTGAAAGCATTATTGACCAGAAAATATTTGCAATTCAGTGACTAGTTTCTTAAAAATAGAAATCTTGATTTTTTTATGAATATTTTTTAACTCAGTAGGTGTGATTTTTTTCTGTATTTATTTATTTGAGTTCGGTTAAGTAGAAATGGTTACTGAGGCATCATTGAGGATCCACTGCTCACCTCACCGACATGCCTGCGCATTGTTTGAAATTTAAAAGTTGGAGCAATTGGCGTATATTTGCGGTACTTTTACAGCTTCGGTCTCTCAAAGTTGAGAATAAATACCTACTCCTATAGAACTTTTGTTAGAAAAGTTCTTTAAATTTTTTTGTATTCTCTACAACTCCTGCAAAAATCGTCTGATGGTACTTCGAGTCCCTGTAACTCTATCAATCTCTCTCGCTCTCTCTATGCATGTCTCGCTCTATCTATCTTTATCTCTTGCTCTGTTTATACTTGCCTCTCTGTCTCTATTTCACTACCTATCTATCTCTGTCTCTAACACCAGTCGAGAGGCTATACATAGTACCCAGCATATTCACTCATGCAGAATGGTCTTCCTGAAGCTTCCACAATAGCTTGATTTCCAAAAATTATTCCAGGTTTCGTCGTATATTGTTCTATTCCGTAAAAAGTACTCTGTCCGTTTTATGCGCATTTACCTTTGGAGTTGGCCAATTTCCGCCATTGATGTATGCCTCTTTGTACTCTCTTTGAATTGTTAATCATTTCTTTAATAATACGAGCCTCTTTCATATGTTTTATGCGAATAAATTTTTTAAACAGCTGGCAACCTTGCTCGAAAAATTTTTTAATTATAAACAGACTAAAATCTCATAAGTTCGTTTAACATATTATTTATGACAATTAATTATTTTTTTAACTTGTGGCAACTCTTTCATGTAAATATCTGCAGTTACTGGTTTTTATTACACTCTTGCCTTTACTGAAATTCTATTGTACATGAGCTGATAAATATTTTTAATGAAAAATTTCATACTTGTGGCAACTCTCTTTAAAAAATACTTCACAGCTACATGTTTACTCAGTATAAAGCCAATACTGAAATGTAATATCAGATAATTTTGTATTAAATTAAGATTTTCAGGCAGGTGGCTACACTTTTATAAATTATTTTCAGTTAGATTCTATCTTAACGCTAATCGGGATGTTGCTAATACTGCAGTGTTAGTAAAAAATGAATATTCGAAACGGCTAGCGCTTCTCAATACGCTCCGAATACCACGAAATCCATATAGGCAGCTTCAATTATTATTTACTGTTATGTTTTTGACGAATTCTCAAGGAACCAGCATTTCTGGAAGAAGGACCTTAATAATATTTTATAAGTATATCGGCGATTTTTATGTGAAACTGAGTTTAGATTACTTTTTATTCGAAAAATCTTTTATATAACCCTTTAATCCACATCCTAAATGTTCCATTTAAAAATAAAGAAATTTAATACACCCTTCATCTCTAAATGACCTGTTCTACCAGTTGTTTGTTTGTTTGTTTGAAGAGAGGGAACATCCATTTACGTTTTTGTGCGATCTCTTCTACTCTACCTGCAGCGACAGTATAAAAGTGCCCTCACCAAAGAGAGAGTTTTAGTGCGTGCCGAGTTTCAAAACGATCAACACATTCAAACGAGTGCTTAATTGTCTTCCTGCTGTTTCGTGCCTAACTCGGTCAACCATTTAGTGCTGCCTGCGATGGCCAACTATCGTTCGACCTATACATTCAGCATTACGAACAACACACGCACCTTTCACCACCGCTGGAGTTTGTTGGGTGTGCAGTATGAGTGTAACGCCTGCACCACATCCTGCGATGCAAGCGCGCAGTACTCACAGCACTGGCGAGCAACAGCTGATGTCGCGCGACTGCTTTGTAGCGACGCGCAACGCGCTCAACTAGCTACCATAGCAGCGCGACGCATTTGTAATTTTTTGCTTTGCAATGAGTACCACGAAGGCGCACAAAGTACGAATAGATTTCTAGTGGACGCTGGCATATGCGCCATACCACAGCTACTGCGTTTGCTCTTTCACGATGCCGCACGTCTACACTTGCGTTTAAGCTTCTACACACGCGCCGCCAATAATATGGATTTTTTATTTACCAGCAGTGAACTCACGCTGACACATCATCTGGACATTGCGCAAGCTGTGGATGTTATATTTCAAATGCTGTTGGAGAAGATAGAGACATATATGCTGGCGTGCTATTCGCCACAGAATGCCACGTTATATCGTATACAGCGCATAAAAATTCACGTACGCCGTACGTTGAAAACACAATTGCCGCTTGAAGCTACTCATTATGCGCTGCCGTTGCAATATCGTGTGAAACATGCCACCTCCACGGCGCCCATGCCGGTAGTGAACGCCGCGTCCATAGCGCTTGCGAATATATATTGCTTTCGTGTTTGCGCGCGTACGCAAGAACTGTACGTTGTACCCTATCAGTTAGGCAGCGTTTGTGATCAGAGTCAAATGTCCGATGATGTGGAGTCTTGGGATAAGGCCGGTCTTGGCGCTCATTATATTATGTTGCAGAGTGTTGATGATAAGGTGGAAGAGTTTTTGGAAATAAAAAATTTGACGCGCTTTCTGCGTACCGATGCAAATGATTATGTGCACTCGTGTTCACAGTGTAATATGAATTTTACGCAGCGCACGCATTTATGGCTACACAACGCGCTTGACTGTGGCCGCGGCTTTGAAGTCATGAAACTAGATAGTGATTTCGTGGAAATTTACGATAACTGCCTCGACATGCGTTGTGACAATTATAAGTGGGCGCTTTACGGGATAATAGAGCACTAAGGAGCGGCTGAAATGATACGCATAGAGAGGCTTGAACTGTGACCTAGAATACAGCTTATACACAAGATATAATAGAGATATTTCAATAATTAAAGCCTTTTATCAAAATTTATTTTAAGAAAGCTGATTTAATAAAATAAAGGTTTTATTAAAAAGTGAAAGCTGTTTTTTCTATATAGTTAAAACTTTCATAAACCGGTAAAATCTCGTTTTGCTAATGGAGAGTTTTCTAAACAGCTCAACTTTTTGACACTAGTGTGTGAAAGCTCTCTTTAAATTGAATAAATGAAGTTAAGGCTTTATAAATAAAATGAAAGCAATTTGAACCCAAGTGCTTTTGAATTACCATTTAAATGTATTTAAATATAGTGGAAGCCCTTTCGAAGAAGTGAAATGGAGAAAATGCTTCCTTAAACTCTATTATTTTTTAACACTAGCTTACAGCTTGGCAATGAAGGTTCTTATAAAACATGAAAGCTCTTAGCATGTAGTGAAAGCTGGGTAAATGTAGTAAAAACGTTTAAAATCTACTGTATTTGATGAATAAATTAGAATATTGTAATGGAAACTTCACTTTTTGAGCTCCATAAATATAGAAAAAATAAAATTATTTTGTTAAATAATAATATAAAAACTTTTACCGAAAGCTCTTACTTATAGTGAATCACTAGAGCAAACACTTTTTCAAAATCGACTATTTTTGAAAATTTTCTGTGAAAGCTTCAGTGCAAATATTTAAATACCCCAAAGTACTTTTTTTTCTGAATTTTGCCAAAGTTCTAGTTTTGAGTCTCAGGAAAGAAATTTATTTTAATTCTAAAAGAATTTAATTTTGACGGAAGCTCATTGAACGCTTTCATACCTTAGTTTTCCTTCGGTTTTTTAAGTTTTGCTTATGTTATATTTCTGAATTCGTTAAAATTAATGGTTTTAATATAGGGAAACGGTATTTTAATGAAAGCCCAGCCTTCATATTTTCTACTTCCCTATTTGAGTTATTAATTTCAAAATAATAAAATCACAACAAAAGTTTATCGGTAGTATTTGTGATAGGTTTTCGAACACTTTAAAATCTTAATTCAATTTTACAAGATGGAAATACACTTTTAATAAACTTCACAGCTTTCATTTAATCTTCACTTTTCATTTCTCCAAGCCATTTCACAACGCCTCTTCCCTTACGCCTGTCATTTAACAATTTCCCTCAATTTCTGTGCTAATTAAATTTAAATCAAATCAATTCAACACGAAATTCCTTGCGTCACGCTCAACCGGTCGCGCGGATTAACTGTAATATCGACCAGGTGGTGTTGATGTTTGCGGCTTCCGCAAAGCTAATTAGCGCGCGGATACAAGTGACACCTGACAGGTTTACTTACCACTTTACTTTTGGCCTCTGCGAGTAAAATCATCAGCGACACGTCAAACTTTCGAACTGAGCTTTCGCTCTGCCAAATATTCATGGAATTTCATTGCAATTTTCTAACTCTGTAAAAATCGTAAGAAAACTTCCTCGTATTTATTTCGTGACTGTAAAGTTTTAAGTAATTAAAAATTGTTTAAATTACCGGTAGTAATTAGTCATTATGCGCTGTGTGTGCTTGTGAGCTTTTGTGAACATATTTCAAAGCAACAGTTGTGCCTTTATGAGGATTTAATTACAAACTCATTTAAATCAAAAATCTTGCAAATTAGTTGAGCACAAGAAACCGAAGAAAATAAATTTGGAAATCTTGCCATAAGGTGTATAAAAAAGCTCTTTATAATTGTAGGAATTATCTTTTTAATTTATTAATTTTCTCTTATATTATTAATTTATTTTCTTTTGCAGTACTCAAGCTTTAGTTCACTTTCACCAGCATCTGCTTTCTTAAAAGCTTTAACTACTTTGTTTAATAAAATTTAATTCTTAAAGCTTCATAGTATTTTTTCTTTACACTCCAAGAAATTATTTTAATATTTATTTAAATAAAATTATTAAATCATTCAGAAATTAATTTCGCTGAAAGGTCTACTGAACTTAAAATCGAAAAGCTTTCATTAATTATGTGCATAAAGCTTTTATTTTTGTATTTAATAAAACTTCATTCATATGAAAGCTCTTCAAGAAACAAAGTTAACTGATATTTAATCTGTTAATAAAATGGAAACTAAAACTTTTTGATTCAATATAAGCTTTTCTATAACAGTTAAGAGCTTCAAGCCATTAGAATAAAAAAAAATATTGGTTATCGTTTGCTGGGCGCAAAATAATCACACTGCAATAAATTTCGGAACATTTTAACCGAAGGCTCTAAAATAAATGGCAATGTAGGCTGTGGAGCTTACTCTGAACCTCTTGCTATATAAGTAAACTGTAGAGTTTTTCAAGTTACTACGTACTCTGTCAACCAGGCTGCCATTAAGTCCCTCCAACGCAATCACACCATCTCAAAAGTGGCAGTGAAATGCCGAGAGATCTTAATCAAACTATAGTCGCGAAACGTCCGTGATTCGGTAATTCTAGGGAACTACGTGGGGCGAAAAGGGTAACAGTCATAACCAAGGCAAACACGACGTGAGTACACCGCTTTCCTCGGCAAAGTCGGCGAACTCCTTCTAAATGGGGCCTCTATATGCTCACCAGCGCGCGTTATAACTGGTCACTGTCGTTTGAATCCTCATGGTAGAATAATGGGCTGCTTCTCGTAAGAGTTTTGCTACAGCGATAGGGACATAGATGAGGAGGAATCAATGCTCTGCCACTGCTCAGCTCGTCATCGATAGCCTTGCAGAGCTTTCAGCGGTAGGTAGCGAATGGCTTAAGCATTTGCAATGGTTATTGGAACCTCCCTAACGTGATCAAAATATGTGTCACAAGAGGTTAGTGCGCTTGATCAGGATTCCGTGAATTAAAGATGTTAAGCTTTGAAGCTCAACTTCATGAACTTTTAACTTCACAGGCACTCCATAGCTTTTCTATCATACTTTTAAGTTTTTTTTACGATGTTCTTATGTAGAGCTCGTTTATTAAATTATATTCATCTTTTCAAAAAAAAAAATGTATATAAATATTTTAATAATAAATAATTTAAATTTGTAATTTTTTTTTCTTTTTTTTTATTTTTTTTTTTCTTTTCGGTTTTTTCTTTTTTCTTTTCTTTGGTGTCATCATGTCAAAAGTAAAATAAATAGCACTCGAAAAGCTATGCTTGAATTCGCAAGACTCCATTAACCCCTTTACACCCACCTTAAGCAACTGTCTTCCAATCGAAAGCTCGTCCTCTCTCTCTCTCGCTTAACAATAAGCCGTGATGCATTTGCCTGAGCACGCTAAGAGTCACGCAAACATAAATTCTCACCAACCGCAAATAAATTTTCTTTAAATGTCAAAAGAAATCATACATATGTACATACATAGAGGTACATATATATACATTTATGTATTAGTATGTGCTGTTTACAAAAGAAGAAATTCACTTGTATTTACAGCAACGCTTTGCCAAGTTCAGGTATGTATGTAGCTGCATGCTTTATGTATGTAAGGTTGCAGAGAATAATAAGAATAATTGCAAATAAATTACGAAACTTTCATGGATAAAGCTTGAAAAGGAGCAGAGTTTTCTTTCAATTATGAAAATGGAGAGTAGAGTTCAATGTGGCGCATATTTCTTAAATTCGTATGTGTAAAGCTGTCCAACAAACTGGTTTCTTAGTAACTAGTTTAGCAACTAGTTTGAAAATGGCTGATTGAAAACTGACTTATTTCAAGAAAATATTAAGTTTGAAGACTAAACCTTAAGTAACTAGTTCAAAAATAGTTAATTCAAAACTAGTCTTGAAGTAACTACCTTATAACTAGTTAAAATAAAACCAGTTTCAAATGCAAACATTTCGAATGTCTTTTCATATGCGAATTGCGAAAATAGTTTTAAACCGACTTAGTCACATTGAATACAACTCTGCTAAGTTGTAATGAGAAAACTTAATAAATATTTAAATAAAAATCAGTTGCAATCTTTTAAACTTGCTTACTATTGGGAATAGTATGAAATTGCGCTATAAATTTTTTTAGACTCACAAAACGCAAAGAACTCGCATTGTCGACCTAAATGCAACCACGCCTTCATCTATACTCGTATATATGTATATTTAATATGTATATCCTGGTCATGTTGTTATTGCCCTTGACAACAAGCAATGCCACCTAAAGGATTTACATAAATAATTGCTGTGGCATTTCAAAATCCGAATCAGTGATGCAATTAGCATTAAATGTAAACAAACAACTGAGCTAGGGGCAAACGGACAGGCAAACAAACAAAAGGACAGCAGATTTGAGAGAGAGACGAGAGAGGCAAGAGAAGCTGGCAAACTCACAACTGCAGTGTGCTGTAGAATGCAACGGAGAGAGATGTAAAAAAAAAATTAAAGGAAAAAACTATTAAACTACAACTCAGAAGTCAGGTAGTTGATTCAAGTCAGAGGTGCAGCAAATGCATTCAAAAATGTAAATAAGAAAGCAAATGAGTGCTTAAGAGAAGAGAGAAATGGAAATATGTATAAAGGTTAGTGTAGAAAAAAGCTGCTGAACGTTAAATATGACTACTTTGTCAACCAGTTGCCTTACTGAATGAATTTCAATAAGTCGCTTATTTTGACTTCTGTTCACACAAGAAAAAGTTAGGCCATTAAGGCGACTCAAATACTCCGAATCCTACTTTTCCTCTTTTCTTCTCCTACTTGCCATTTCCATGGCACTGGCAGCATCCTCCGTAGTTGAACACCAGTCATGCTGTATGCTTTCGGTTAACTAAGCGAGTACTTTCGTTCTTCTTTCGGCCATATTTGCCTCGATCTACAACAACACGAGTTTAATTTCCACCTTGCTGTAGCATGCCTGTAAATTATTTTCCTGAAGAACAGTTTGTATTCACCAAGAAGACTTACCAATGTATTCTTTACCGGAAGGTAACTGCTCAGTCGTGTGGCGATCTCACAGTCTGCGCCAATAACCGTGGAATAAGCCTCCTTCATATTGCTTATAAGGGTTTTTCAAGGGGATTTTGGGAAAACTAAAGTCCACCGTCAAAAAACTGATTGGACCTTATCAGTGTGGCTTCAGACCTGCTAAGTCAACCATTGACCAGATATTCAGCATGCGCCAAATCTTGGAAAAGACCCGAATTAACACACGACCCCTTCGTCGGCTTTAAAGCAGCCTTTCCCGCAGAATCCCCCTTGCCAACAGGTGCTACTTTGGACTGAGTAGTCAATTGAAAAGAAAAGTTCTCTCTTCATCATACCCGCCGTAGGAGTCCTCGAGAGAAAGGTTATCCGAACGATTTATCGTCCTTTGCGCATAACCATCGGCGAATACCACAGACGATGGAAGGTCGTGAATGAAGAGACAGCAGCTACGCTGGGTTGGTCATGTCGCCCGAATGGATGAAAGCACTGCAGCTTTGAAAATATTCGATGCAGCACCCGCTGGTGGAAGCAGAGGAAAAGGAAGACTTCAACTCTGTTGGAAGGATTAGGTGGAAAGCGATTTGACTTCAATTGATATCTCCAGCGGACGCCAAACAGCGAAAAGAAAAGATGAATGGCGGGCTAATATTGATTCGGCTATAATCGCGTAAGCGGTGCCAACGCCAATAAAGAAGAAAAAGAAGAAGAACTGCTCCGGCGTGCTTTGCCTATGTAGCTAGCGCATCTGCCTTGTAGCTCCTCTCTTGTATCTCTGCGTTCAAGTATCCAAACGACCGATTTTCTGAGGAGATCTATGGATGGAACACGCTTTCATATACTCAATGATCCTCTAATAGCAATACCACTTGGAGCTGTGAATGAGATTTTGAAAGTCTAAAATATAATTTTTTTTGTGTGGCTAAAATATTCTAATCCCAGGGGCATACTAGCATATTATTATCTCTAATGGCAATACACCGCATCCGACTTTCAAAATGTAGATGGATTAAGCTTAAAATTACAGACTAATCTCAGTATAGTGGTTCTAGATGATTATAAAATCGGCTAGGGAGTGTGAAAGACAATTACGACGTTACTACGATGCAGCATGAAGTGGGTTTAAGAGGACTTCCCTTCAAAGCCGCAGAGAGCTTGTTAAGAGAGGACCTTACATGCCAATCGCTTACTCAGTCCAAAGTAGCACCTGTTGGTGATGCGTGAGAGTCTGAAAACAAAAGTTAATTCTTCTTATGCTCATTCACTACCAGACCCATTGGCCTTGCTCTCTTATTCAAGATAAAGTATGAACAACACCGTGGATGTTAAGACCGTGATGTCGAGATTATTTGGGATATTTTTGAGATTTTTGGGATGATTTTCTTAAGTGTGGAAGCTCTTCGACATTGAATGTAAGCTGTTACGAGTTTATTTCTGACATGAAACAAGAGAAAAGAGATGACTTTAGTGGTTCCAAAGCGCCGTTTATAGTATATGTATATGTACTTGTATACATTCCTTACCTTCTTAACTCTACAGCTCATGCTATTTAATAGAGATTCAACTTAAAAAAATTCACTTCAAAGAGATTTTTTTATTAAGCTTGAGTTAGTATCGGACGGCTTGGAAAGATCCTTCGAATTACTGGCGCAAATTTTGATGTTTTTTAGTCAGAATATATTACAGAGTCTAACCTAACCTAACGGTATATTACCGAATTACACGCAAAGGGATTGCTGACTTTCTGAAGAACGCAAGAGACGTGGCGAAAAGTTGTGTAGTAGTGCATTTAAAGTCAGTATAAATGTTAAATCGCTTTTAAGAGACTCCATTAAAAATCGACAACTTAAGTTAAAAAAAATAAAATTAAAAAAATATTTTAAAAATTTTTGCATACTTTTTTTGAAACCTATATGCTCTCGTACATGATACCTGTTGTTCCATTCCTTAAAAAATGATTAAAAAATTAAAAAACACCACTTTTTAATTTTTTTTTAATGCTTTAATCTTTTAATTTGCGAAAATTAAATTTTCATAATTTTACTTATATTTCAAGAGTTTTTATTATTGTACATACACTTGCACACATTTAAGTAGTTATTTAATATAAATTAAACTTTTACTTATTTTTTATAATTTAAATTTTTATATTTAAACTTAATTTTATTCAAATTAAAATTATTTTGTTTTTTTATGTTTTTTTATTACATTTTTCCCTCCTAATATTTTTTATATAGCACACGTTCATAGTTTTTTTTTTAAATATGTTAAAATAGATTACATAAAATATATAAATTTATAAGTACCAAAAGCCTCAAATTATTTCTAAAACTTTTTATTAAGTAATTATTGTATAGATTAGTACTAATTAAATACTACAATTTTATTACAACGCAATATGATTTAATTTAATTTTTTTCTTTTTCTTATTATTTTTTAATTTTTTTAAAACTTTTCGTGCCCACAAATTCACTTTTAAATATTTGAAATATGCAAATGACAGCAGCGACTGCACCAATGCCAGTCGAGAGCCGCCATCGAGCATCTACCACAGCCGCAGCCACCACAGTGACAGCGGGAGTTATCAGCGTCAGCTGAGTTGTCAATTTTGGCAGCTGCCGCAGCTTAACTTTCACTGTCAACTGTCAGGCAACTGTCAACTTTCGCTGGCACACATTTTCTTTGCGCCTACTTAACGCGGCGTCAACGAAGGGAAAAAATATATATATTTGTTATTTTCATTTTCCTTTTTATTTTGTCATTTGTCACGTTTCGCGTAGTTACGCGAAATTGAACTGCGTTGCGTCTGCACGAACACGTAACTTAATCTCTCTGCTCGCCGCAGTAGTCACTGTGCGGCCGCAAGAGGTCGCTCACTCGATTTTACTCGCTCGACGGCGATGGGCAAACTTTCTCAACTCATCTCAATTTACGTGGAAATTAAATTTTCGTTATAGTCAACGTTGATGTTTAAATTTTTAACAGTTAATTGTGTCGCAGCGTAGCAAAGAGACGAGAGTTTTGTTGTGAGTTGGCTGCCGATTTAATTGTTGGTGTTTTATTTTGTGCGTCTCATTGTCAGCTCCAGGCGATGCTGTTGCTCTCTGCAGTTGTCACATCAAATAGAATTGCATATCAATCGCAGAATTTTAAGCTTAATTGTGAAAATAAAAGTTTCGGAGAGAAATTAATTCTTCCTTTACGAGCTAACTTAAATGTGAGTAACTGTAAGGAGAAGAGAGATGAAGAAAAACAGGAATTATTAAAAGCGTAATTAAGGGCAGTTGGAAATCATGTAAGAAATATACATCGAAAGTCTGAAATAAAATTTAGCCACTAGGTGGCGCTGAGTACAATATTTTTACTTAAAACTCTATTTACGGGCTGCTTTCACTAATTTGGGGTATCAAATTTATGTAACTCTTAAGTACAGCCCACTGAAATTTTCCTCGAACCGGATAAATCATACCAAGGTAGGCCTCTGAACGCCTGAAGGATTTTTATGGGGTAAACCTTAGTTAAATCAAAATAAAACTCGAAGATTTTGACTTTCCCTTCCAGGCGTATAATATATTGACTAGGATTCGATTGGTATAATTTTCCACATAAGACAAAATCTTTGGCAGAACTACCAAAAGTTCGGAGGGAATGTACATTCGTGGAAGGACTGGAAAAATATGGTATTAAGGTGTCAAATATATGAGTTACTGAGTGATTTGTAAGCAGACTGGGTCACCTCTGCGTACTGAATCCAGGTTAAGCCTGAAAGAGCTTTGAAATTTATGGCCAAAACCTCCCTCAATGAATCCTTGACAATGGTATCAACTGCTCGAGTATAATAATGGTGAGCTCATGAGCACTGGTTTCATTCCGGCGGGGTATACGTGTTCGGTAACTTCAAAACTCACAAACCTCGAGGATACTCGAAAGGTTTTCTCTACAGAAACCTCAACTGAGCCAAATTTGTACTGAGCCTTGAGAGGACATATTTTCAGTAGTGGGCGGGCGTCAACTAATCGAGCCCAATGTCCAATGCGATTTGGAATGGCTATAGGTAGTTGACAGAGCAGATCTATCGCTTCGGCCAATGCATCAGATCTGGCTTACTGCTGGATCTTCCTTCTCAGCGAAAATTGGATCAAATTGAAAAGTACTCCATCTGTAGAAAGCCGAGGAATGTTAACTACCATTGCGGATATTGCTTAATTTAGAGTATATCGATCCTCCCAGTGAGGTTAAAGGAAATGTTAATTTGGCTTCGATAGGGTTTGTCCAGTATGGAGCCTCCAGCAGATCCTCAGCTTTCGATTGCGATGAAGAGACGAAAATAAATAATGGCAAGGCGTACGAAATCAGAAAGATAGATTAAAATAACTTCTAGAAGAAACCCAGATGGAATATGATAAAGATCTATTAAGAACTTATAGGTGGCATACCGAGTTCCAAGCAAGGCGTCTGCCGATATCAAGGATAAACTTAAGAGCCTCTAAATTTTCCAGAATGCTGAAGAACAGTATTGGAGCTCAAATATAATGGGCATCCAGCATGTGCTCCAGCCGACATCAGAGTTTAAACGAATAATTTCGGTTTGAATAACCTGTGCAATATGCGAGTTAAGTCATGTATCCTTGAACGCAGTAAGCTCTTATATTCCTAAGGTGTATTCATTTTTAATAAAAATCTCTCATACTCACCACTTAAAAATAATCACATCTTGGCACGGTTTTGTAATCAAACTGAACGAATTCACACGTTTTACAGCTCACACATACATACACACAGTCATCCAAGTCAAATTTTATTCCGCATCGTTCCTCCAACGCTTTAATTTCAGCTGCTGCCGCAAAAATAATGTCGCGGCACGTAGAAATTCCTCACCGCACAGCGACCTCAAAGTGTGCGCCAATACACAAAGAGCTGCGTCATCATCACGAATGCACACAACATCCCACCGCCCGCCGCATGGTCAAGGCGGCACGCCATAGAAACTTCGGCGCTCCTTCGGCGCAGTGGCGAACTTCTTAAACTTCACGACAACCTGCATGCGCTGCAGAAATTCTTCATGTAACATATTCACACACATCGAGGTGAGCGTCAAACCGCTTAGTATGTACGCCGCACAGAACCACACAACCAAAGTCGAGGTGGTTGTGGCGGGACGCACATGTACGCCCGGCAACAGATCACAAAACCCGATAGTAGTCAAACTCATGAAACAAAAGTAAACGCCATCGAAGAGTGACCACTGCTCCAGCAGCGCAATGACCAACGAACCGAAGCACACATAGGCGAGCAAAAGGAGTACACAAAAACTGATAGGGAGGGCCAACGACCAGCGGAGTACGTGTGCGCGTGCTCGTGTAGAATTTGCGGAGAGTGGTGAATGCTCGCCGTAGCTGAGCGTCTCGTCGGCTGGTGGACGCACGTAGCAGTATGGCAGATGTGCTGCTTGCATTGGCTGCTGGCCAGTTTGTTGTTGCTGCGCTGTGCTTGTCGCGTGCTGTTGTTGTTGTTGATGATGTTTTTGTAGTTGTTGTAACTTAAGATTACATTTCTTATCAGATACCTGCTGTCGACTAAAACCGCAGATGGTGTGTCGTTTACTCGTGCTGCTGTGGCAGAAGCAACAACAAAGTAGGCGCTCACAAAAACCGATGGCCAATTTGGCAAGTATGCTGCCGATGCTCGAGAGATAGACCAGCGTGAGCGGTATACCCACTGTGGCATACACGATTGTCACCATTCGACCGAGTGTGGTGCGCGGTGTGATGGTGCCGTAACCTGCAAAGAAAAGGTTTTTTTTCTTTAGTTCAGGAATATCAGAGAAGCAAAAAGCCTCATCCCCGGCTTGGGTCATCTGTCTCTTAGAATTGTATCGTTTTAATATGTGACTTGAGGCGCGGTGGATGAATATGAATTGGTAAAGTCTATAGGTAGTTGGGTTTCATGTCTCGGGTGAGTCGGTTTGCGCGAAACGAATTCTGAAAACTTCGACGTAAGCAACTGCCTCTCAGAATGAGCTTCGGCCAATATATATTTTAGTTCTTTTGGAGCTTGCACGCAAGACAACCAAGTTCTTAAACCGTAATTTTGAAGGTGCCCAGTTTCCAAACTTTAAGGCAGAGGTAGCTCGATATGAGATCTGAGATCAGCCGGTTCAGCCACAGTGCACTATTTGCCTCGGCGTCTTTCAAGAACCTACACCTTTGTGGGAAAATCAGAGCCGTTAGAAGGGGCCGCGAAGGCATTGCGACAGAGCTTACTTAGTTTGGCCGAATTCCACCAGGCTAGGATGCATGTCGGGTTGACCCTATTTAATTCATACTTATAAAGTACAAGGCCTGAATCCGACAGCTGATTCTCCTGCCGAGTCTGTGAAGACGAAGCCAATGAAAGTCTCATCAGAATCCGACAACTGATTCTACTGCCGAGTCTGTGTAGATGAAGCCAACGGAAATGAAAGGGAGTGTTTTTCAGTCTTCAGACAATGAAAGTCTCATCAGAATTCCAATCCATGAGTCTTAGAAAGCCACATAGGCCCAATGCGCTCTACTTTGCTGTTTATTGAGACTTTGAAACCTGTTCGATCCATCAATTATATACCTCCCCTCAATCTTCCAAGCACACTCACCCACTGTTGTCACTACGGTAAGCGAATACAAAAAGGATGTGGCGAAATTCCATTCAAATTGTTGTTGCTGCTGTTGTAATTGCCATTGACGTTGTCTTGCCGCTTGTAACTGCCAATAACGTTCACGATGTTGCATCTGCTGTTGTTGTTTGTGTTGTTGTTGTCCTTCTGTGTGTCCTTCATTGCCGTAATGTTTACTTGTTTTCGGTTCCATGCTATGATAATCAAATGGTTGTTGTTGTTGCCTTGAATGTGCATCACGCAATGCTGTTGTTGTTGTTCCTATAGCTGCATCAACGCTGCCACCGTTCGCCATCGCCGGTGAAAGTGTTAAATCCATGACAAGTCGTTTGACTAATTGATCCTGAAATTTATTAATCTCCAAGGCAGCCAATCTGTAAATATAGCGTTGTGTGCGTGTGTGTGTGTGTGTGTGCCATGTATGTGTGGATGAGTAATGTTGAAGGAGTTTGTGTAATATAAAGCGTGTGTAGGCGATAAAATGAAATTGTATTTAGTTTAATCGCATTAAATTTAATTTAATTACATTTGATAAGTTCGAAATACAATGCAATTAGAGTCAAGTGCTTTTAGTTTGTTGTAAATACAAATTATATTAAACTATAAGTTTTATTATGATTGACCCTAATTGGTGGTGGATTACTTCAATATGCCAAATATATATAAAAATATATATTTATATATATATCTATATATGTATGTATAAATATATATATATATACATATAAAGTTATTTATTATTATTTATTTCCATTCCTCTCTGAAATCAAATGGAACAAAGAATAGTTGTGTTATTAGAAAATTTCAAATATTTAATAATTATTTTTAAATTTAATTCATTTTGTTTAATTTTAATATAAATTCATGTTAATTTAACATATTTTATTTTCCTTCATTTTATAATTTTTTTCATTTGTATTTTAATTTTTTTTATTTTATTTTATTTCATTTCATTTTATTTTATTTTATTTTATTTTATTTTATTTTATTTTATTTTATTTCATTTTATTTTATTTTATTTTATTTTATTTTATTTTATTTTATTTTATTTTATTTTATTTTATTTTATTTTATTTTATTTTATTTTATTTTATTTTATTTTATTTTATTTTATTTTATTTTATTTTATTTTATTTTATTTTATTTTATTTTATTTTATTTTATTTTATTTTATTTTATTTTATTTTATTTTATTTTATTTTATTTTATTTTATTTTATTTTATTTTATTTTATTTTATTTTATTTTATTTTATTTTATTTTATTTTATTTTATTTTATTTTATTTTATTTTATTTTATTTTATTTTATTTTATTTTATTTTATTTTATTTTATTTTATTTTATTTTATTTTATTTTATTTTATTTTATTTTATTTTATTTTATTTTATTTTATTTTATTTTATTTTATTTTATTTTATTTTATTTTATTTTATTTTATTTTATTTTATTTTATTTTATTTTATTTTATTTTATTTTATTTTATTTTATTTTATTTTATTTTATTTTATTTTATTTTATTTTATTTTATTTTATTTTATTTTATTTTATTTTATTTTATTTTATTTTATTTTATTTTATTTTATTTTATTTTATTTTATTTTATTTTATTTTATTTTATTTTATTTTATTTTATTTTATTTTATTTTATTTTTTTTTTTAATTTATTTGATTTTTTTATTTTTTTTACGTTTTTAGCTCAAAAATGATAGCAAAGCTGTAAATTTTATCAAAAATCTTTCATAAAAGCTTTCAGGGAAGAGAAATCTGGAGAGTCTCATAAGGTAATATACTGAGAAAGATTCTTTCTTAAATCTTTGCTTATCTAGGTTTAACCAGGAGTCAGTCGAAGTGAAATGTTGCTTATCCTAATGAGCATCCACCTTCAGTATTATCCTTGCAACCGTCGGATTTGTAGTGGAATTACAGTTGACTAAAGATATCTTATCCGCGTATAATATTCCCCACCGGAGGGCCATAGCATTCACAGCACAGATCTTTATGCCGTAGAATCTGAAGCCTATCCGTCTCACCTCGTTTCTTATAAAATCCAACCAATAGGAGGACTCCCTGCTGTTGTGGAGTCTCCATAGAAGTCCCTGAACTTTACTCTAGTGACCAGGATGTTATGATCATAAATGCTTTTCTCTCGGTGCTTTCTCCCCAACTTAGTTTGGCCGGAAGTATCCGATTCTAACTATCTTTCTGTAAGCCGGCCCCTATAAAGCTATTATGTTTCAATTTTTTCCACAAACTCTAACAAAAACAGTATTCCACTTAAAAAAAAAAAGCCAGGACACCAGCTTGTTCTGTCTTCAATCCAAAAAAAAGACGTCTTGCGAGCTTGTTCAAGCTAGAGTTCCGAGTAACATCGCTGTGATTCAAGAATCAAAAAGAACTCCATCGGAGTAAACTCTAACCTAAAATTCCAGAAAACCTTTTGAGTGAGGAGTTCTGGCAGCAAAGTGTTGAACCTCTCGGGTCATCCGGGCTAAGTAAAACGGAAGAAAGAAGGCTTCAACATGAAAAGACTCACAGCTGATGCTTTTGTCCAAAAATAAACCAGTGTCTAGATCAGCCATTGAAATAAGAGGTAAGACATGGGCTCGGCTCCAGTGGTCTACAGTTACCTCCTGCTAAGCTTGCCTATTTGCTATTCTAAGTCCGCACACATGGAAGCGGACCATTTTGATCTACCACAAGTGAAATGCAAAAAACTCTTTTCACAACTCAGATAACTACCGCAAGCACTGTAACCTAATTCAACTACTGATGGCCATGCGGGTGAATGCATTTCTGTATGTTTTTTGTGTATGACACATGAGTGCCCTACTTCTATGTTTACCTCTCACACATAATTACTCACTTGGTCCAATTCTCCTTGTAGAGTATATTCAATGAAACCGTTATATCCCAAATATTCTCCACTGTACGCTGCAATGCCACATTCTCACCACCCCAAGCACCACCAGCCGCCCCAGCCATATCAGCCATTTCATAATCCACATCTCCATAACCGTAACCATCTACATTTGCGATGCCAGCACCAGTAGCTGCACCTGCTCTAACACCCTCACCGATGACACCGGGCTCCAACTCAATATCAGCGCCGTTAATGTCATTGCCAATGGCCAAGGCAGCCGCACGATAGGCTTGCGCCTCTACAACCATCGCATGTCGCAGTGTTGCATATGTAGCCTTGGCTGGTGCTGAGGCTGCAACGGCGGGCTCGTCATTTGGCTGTTGTAGTTGTAGCAGCATGTTGTTGGAAGACGGCGACAACTTGCTGGCATGCCTGTTGTCAATGTATGTTTCCGTTTCCTCCGCTTTCGCTGCCGTCACATCAAAGTGCGCCCCCGCATGTTGGGTACTGTTTGCCCTTGTCGCGTGCCACATTGTTGGGGGCGTGTTCATGTGGAAGTTGTTAGTACTATTACTACTACTACTACTGCTTATACTCATGCTACTTTCGTGGTGCGGTTGGCTGCTAGCCACAGCAGCAGCGCTTTGCAACTGCTCACCTACTCCGCTACCTCCGCCGCCTCCCCCTCCTCCATCTGCTGTTGTGGTTGTCACATCCAATAACGGTTCACTGGATTTGTATAACTTTGAATGTGCGCCAGTAAAACTGGCTTGCGGTTTCGGCTTCTGTTGCTGTTGTTGTGTCGATATGTATGCATTTTGTGCGTATGACCAGGCATTTGGATCACTGACAACACCCGCTGCGCTGCCACCATCACCGGAAGTTTCTATGGTGAGGAATAGAAATGAACCTGTGGCAAAGCAGAAAAGGAAATGTAATTGAGCTTTTTGAAATTTTCAGAGTAATGTAATGGGATTTTAAAAATATTTTGAAAATGAAATGATTAAACGGTAGACAGAGTCTTTCCTCAGCTTGTAAGGTAAATGATTGGGAGAGGGAGAGGGAGAGGGAGAGGGAGAGGCTTAATGGCACTGACCGACTGTACTAATAATTTTTTCAAACACTCTCATTGAGTTTTTGGCAAATCTGTATAATTCTCGATTCTTGAGAACCGCGCTCCGAAGACTTTGAGCTCTGGCTTCTACATTTGCAGGTATTTGAAAAACGTGCTTTGATTAAAGTAATTTTCCAGGCTCATGAAAAGGCAATTCAGGTCTGTGGAAGAAGCAATAACCACATTCCGTACTGAGCTCATAAATTTAGCCTTGCATGATCTCTCTTAACTGCAATTCCGGTCTGTGGAAGAAGCAAAAACCACATTTCGTACTGAGCTCATATATTTAGCCTTGCATGATCTCATTTAACGTACTTAAACTTTATTGGAATCTATGACTTCTATCATACAAGACTGACACTTCGAGTATCAACCAATCTCATTACTAGCTATGAGCTCAAAAAATATGGAGCACGTGTCACTTCACGAATTTGGTATCCAATAGAGCCATCTCAAAACAGGTAATCAATCCACTTTTTAATGATGCTTTCTTCTTATTAGATGCCCTCTCAGTGAACTGTCTTCGCAATGTGTACTCATTTGTCCGCCTCCCCCACACTTTGCGTTCCCACTCACAGAAGTTATGTTTTCAGAAAGGTTGCAAAAGGTCGTTATCAAACCCACAGCCACACAAATTTCCGAGAATACGCGCGAAACTCATTGATTTATGAAATTAGAAAGTGCAAATAAAAGCAAAAAGCAAGAAAAATTTACGTAAAGAAAAAACGAAACCAACAAAAATATCTAACGATGCATACTCACCAACGAGAAGATAACCCAGCAGCAGCGTACAAATACCCAAATTGGCAAACAATGCAGGCCAAAAAGTCAACGCTGGCAATTGCTGCTTATCGCCAGAATCCAACTCACACCGAACGCCTGCTTTGGCATCAGCCGCACCACCACCTCCACTGCCACCAAAGCAACCGCAAAAGTTGTCCCGTTGTGGTCCCACGGACTGCTGTTTGTGTGGACTATTCATATTGCTACCTTTGCTGCCATTGCCACTGCCGCTGCCACTGCCAACAATGCTGAGATTGCCAGGCGTGTGGCTAATTTTTAGAATTGTTGGCGCGCCGATAGATTTGGCGGTGGCGGTGGTGCTGGTGCTGGTGGTGGTTGGTGCGGGTGCGACATAAGCATCTATGCTCGCCAACATTTTTGTACCAGTGCCAGCGACGACGCCATCTAAACTTGCTACCGACACATAACGATACAATTCACTGCCAGCAACAATGGAGGCGCCGCCTGTTCCCCCTCCGCTTGCCGCACAATATTCACTTGCAGCTGCTGTCTCGCCATAGCTCACATCGATTTCACTCGCATTGACATTATTACTGTTGTTGCTTTCGTATTTATATACGGTTGTTGTTGTTGTTGTTGTTGCTACTGCTGCTGCTGTTGTTGGAGGCGATGTTCCGCCTTTTTGGAATCCGTGATAATCTGTATGGTCAATGGTCGCACAAGTGTTGGTAAGCAATTTGTGCTGCTGTTGGTGTTGTTGCTGCTGCAGCTGCTGCTGTTCAATGGGTGTAGCTGCTGGCAGTGATAATTTCTCGTTCATTGAGTTTAAAATTTTTTCACTTTTTCTTTTTTGGTTTTTTTCTAATTTTTTTTTTTTGTGCTGATGCGTGTATTGTTTTGCTCTCACTTTTCGTTCGCGCTGTTTTCTAGCTTTTGCTTTCCCTTATTTTGTGTTTAGTGATTTTTAAGCGAAATCTCAATTCATTGCGTTGCTTTTCGTTAGCGTTGATTTTTCTATTTTTTCTTTAATAATTTTTATTTGTTCTTCCTTTTTATTTTATTTTTTTCTTACTTCAGATTTTTTTATTGTTTTTTTCTTTTTTGGCGATTGGCACGTTTCTAAATTCTTGGAATTGCGTGTTTAAGGATTTCTCTGATTTTTTTTTTAATTTCCTTTTTAATATCCTACATTTTTTTGGTTAATGCTTTGTTGTGTTTTGCCATGCTATCTTTTCAATTCCCGTACGATTTTACTCAATTCGAAAAAATGTTCGCGGAAGATGTATTGTCTTCGGCTTAGACGTGGACCAGGCCCCATGGTCTGCATGAATAAAAAGGCTCCGGCTTGAAGTAGAGGAAGGAAAGATCGTCACAACCTAGAAAAGATCAGTAGAAGTAGTTCCTTGTTTCACTTGGTGTCTTCGCACTGAAACAGCAAAAAAAAAGAAACGAAATAAAATAAAAACACAACATTCTTTAATTATTTATTTTATTACTAATATTATTAATACTCTAAGCATGCAGCGCCACAGCGAGGAGAACCAATAGGAAAAAATCCAATATAATAATGTTCCGAAGAAATAGCTAAGCTGAGACCAACATATCTAATGAACTGGCCACACAAAGGCTGTACATACACACGCGTAAGATATAAAGAATCCATGAGAGAGGCAGCAGACGAGCGCAAATCTGCAAGGAAGGTACTAAAGGAAACCATTGTATTGAGCAGAATAGAAAGACAACTAAGCAATGATCTCTGAAAACTACAAAGTGGTCAATAGCCTCCTCCAAGACTGAACTGTAGAAAGATATTGTTATACATATATATATATGTACTTTTGACCACTGCTTCCATTTGTGGTATCGCGACCGCCATGGTTACGTTTATGGATATGGCTGAGGATACGGTTACGGATACGTTTACGGATACGGTTCATGATATGGTTACAGATACGTTTACTGGTATGGTTACGAATACGGTTAAGGATACGGTTATGGATACGGTTATGGATACGGTTAAGGTATCACCCTCTTCCCTGCACACGATGAATGCATCGACACAGAGAGGCGAGTGGATGGACCCACAACCTTTGACCGAAGAAGAGCTCCTTGTCGCCGCATTACGGTAAAAACAGCACATTCGGGCGCGACGAAGTTTTGACTAAGATACTTAAGGAAATTACTCTTAAACACGCTGCGTGTCTCGATTCACGTGGCCTCATTCCAGCAAAGGTGGGTACCGAGCTCTTCCTGGTAACGGCAAAACAAATCTCCTTTGGTGGTGGATATAAGGATTTTTGACGAGACCGTATGCCCCAAAAACAGTAAAGAATCTAAACATTAGACTTAACTCGATGAAGTACTGGATCCAACTAGAGTATGTCACTATCAAACCAGCATAGGTAGCGGCCCAACGAAAACAAACAGAAGTTTACTAAGGAGCACCATAAAGTCAAAACTTCTGTATGATAGTGAAATACTGGCAGGTAGTCTACGTAATCTACGTATGACACAGCGATCCGCCTCCTCTACTCGGCGCGGTAGAGGTTCAAGATTTTCCCGCCGATAAGTCATGGATGTCGTAAAAGGAAACTAAAATCCAGAAGTTCTCGTTACAGTTCGATCTTTATACGAGAACGACCCGGATTTCTATTTTGCCAAAAACTAGTTTGTAGGATATTTATGCGGCTACTACAACAAAAACAACTTCCTCACAAAAGACAGTCAGAGGCTTTGGTTGCAGAAGTCGGCAAACAATAAAGCCTGCCAACTGGTAACGATGAAACAAACCCTCACTCAATGCAAAAAAGATGCAACGACGCCACAGTGGACGGTCAAGCTTATACCCGGTAAGAGAAAGTGACAAACACGTCTAGGTGTCGCGATATATTTTCGAAAATACCTACACAAGTTGAGCAAAGGTAACGAGCTATCATGTATTTGTGACGACAGCGCTGAAGAAGAAGCAGGGCACACCTTGTTCCAAAGCGGTTAAAAGAAGAAAAAAAGACACTCCCTGTCCTGTCTGCCGATAACCAGGGACGAAACATGGAAAACGTGTCTTATAATTAAAAAAAAAAAATTAAAAAAAAAGGGTTTCTTTTCCTCCTTTCGTGGCAACAGTCCCTAAGTAATTAAATGTTTGCCCCTTAACGCTTTTGCATTAATTCAAGTTTGTCTTCCAAATACCTCGCCACAAGCGATTTCTGTTAACTTAAAATCGCAAAATTTGCTTTTTGTTCAACTTTTCCGCGACCGCCTGCTTTTGTGCTGCTAATTCTAATTATTTTCATGCTTTTGTTGTTGAGCTACTGGAAATTTCATTTCTCACCCTCTCGTACCTCATTTTCACTTTATACTCGTATTGTATTTGCTGAGCACTTTTGCTCTCGTCTGTTCTCACTTGTGTTCTCCCTTCAATCGTTGGGGTTCTCCACATATTGTTTAGGGCTTCCGGTTTGTATTGAAGGTTTTTAAATTAATTTGTTTGTTTTATTTTCATTTAATTTATTTTTTCCATTTGAATTTTTATTTTTGTTTTTTTTTTTTTTTTTCTGGCAGCTATTCTCATTGATTGGGTGATCCAAGTAGGAGTACTATTTTAAATAGTCTTTTTTTGACAGATCACGCTTGAGTCGTGTGAAGCCGTCATATTATTTTTGTTCAGTATTGTTTTACATAATCACCCATTTTGAGGCCGAGCATTTATTATTGGATAATAATTGGCTGAGACTGTACACGAAGACCGTGAGAGTCGATTCGGCGCCGTTAACAGCTATTAGGACCGACGACTTGGCACATTTTACGTCGAGGTCTTACATTAAAAGCGTACGAAATACAGTTCGATATTACTTTGCTCTATGGGCTTTTGAAAAATTTCAAGAAGATCTGAGATTTTCGAGCCAAATTTTGTTCAGCGTTGAGGCCCATTTCTAGCTTAATCAGTATGTAAACAAGCAAAATTACCGCATTTCGGACGAAGAGCAAGCTGAAGAGATTCAAGAGCTGACATTTCATTCACAAAAAACAGCGGTTTGGTGTGGTTTGAGTGTCGGTCGAATCAACAGTCCATATTTCTACGAAAATGATGCCGTTGAGAACGTTAGTGTCAAACCCCTTGATATTCGACTTTTTGATGCCCGAAATTGAAGCTTGTCATCTCGGCGGCATTTGGTTTCAACAAGACGTTGCCGCTTCCTACACACGCATCAATCAATGGATTTATTGAGAATACACTTCGATGGATAGATAAATTAACGTTTCGGGTCGGTTGACTGACCATCAATATCGATAGATATCGCGCCACCGTTCGACTCTTTCCTGTTGAGATATATAAAGTCTAAAATCTATGCAGACAATACCATTTCGATTCTGTCCTTGGAGCAATATATCACGCTTGTCAATCGCCAGTTACCAGTTAAAACGCAAATTGGACTCAACGGTTGGATCATCTGAAACGTAGCCGCGGCCAACATTTAAGGGAGATAATCTTCAAAAAATAAATGCCATGGAATATCTTTTGGAATGATAATAAACATTCCACATAAAATTTCAATTTTCTTTGTTTTTTTTTTCGTTAAAAAAGTAGGGAATGTCGAAATGTATCACCCTTTACAGCTGAACCTGTAACTTTTGAGCAATTGGAAGCCAACGTTCGTCGAGTTATAGCTGAGTTACCGCACAATATGTGCCAAAAAGTGGTCGAAAATTACCACGAACGTAGTGAAACAAGCAAAATCTCGCGAGACGGGGTTTTTGAATGAATGAAGCACTGCTTTACATACTTATAACGCCCAGACTTAAGCTTTATATTAAGAAAGAAATTTCAGGAAATAAATTATTTAAATGCATTTCTTTTACGTCTATTTTCGAAGCCGCAAAATAGTTAACCCTGTGCTTGGTTTGCGTGCTGTTTTGCTGTGTGCGCTTACAAAAGCTTGTAGAAAATATTTAATTTAGTTCGATTTCGTGGCATGCTCCGTCTTTGTTTAGGTGCTGTTATTTATTTTGATTTTATTTTTACAATTTTTTGTCGGTTGCCGCGGTTTTCGCATACCCGTTTTTTTTTTGCTCTTATTTTGTTGTCATGTTGGAAGAGCCAAACAAAGAGAGGAATGTTGGTTATTTCAAGAATAGAGTTTAATAAGTAAATTGCTGTAGAGCATTGTTTAGAGAACAAAAGCTAAATGGGGGCTACAAAGGGGTGGAGTTATATTGAACTTTATATATGTACATACATATATTTCATACATTCTATACTTTAAAAAATCTTAAAGTTATTAACCACATAGAATTTAGCGCGCTCTTTGCTTACTCCCTTGATATTCTCATCTACAGCAGCAGCTATCGTAAAGTGGACCTTATTTCGAGTGTACACCCCAAGTGGCTAAGAAGCGGTTACTGTTAAATTTCATGAATTTAAATATCTTGCTCTCAACCCTTCATATTTTGAAAGTCCTGTCTTTCACTCGAATGTGGATTATCATTTTCTCTGAGCTAGACGTACATATTCTGATTATTTCCTGATTTTTTGACAGTACTTATCGGACATAGTGTTAAAATCGGATAGGATTGGTCAAGAGATGCTTCTGCTCAACTTCTCATCAGTTTCTTCTTTTCAGAGTATGTTTCTATGGCCGAAAACTCAGATAAGAGAGATGCCCAGTTGTCCTGTAAATCAAGTTAACACCTTTTGTAAATATTTTTCGTTGTTGGAGTTTACTGCATACTAAAACTCTAAAAAAGCAAAATTCGAGAAAAATATACAAAAAAAATTGTCCCGTAAAAAATTACGATTTTTTCAAACTGTTTTTGGAATATATATTTATAAAAGAATATACATTTAACCTTTCGAAATTTTGCAAGACGAAAACAGTATAAAAAAATTATTAATTCAGCAATTTATTAAATTTAGCGTATTTACCTTAAAATGGTTTCTTTTAAAAATTTTTAAATTTTTTTGTTTTTTTCTTCAATTTTTTTTAATTACTTTTTTATAATTATATTTTTTATTATATATATAATATTTACATCATATTTATATAATTTTATCTATATTTACCAGCGTAGAATTTTGAATTAAATGGATAAGAAATAATTTTGTAAAAAAAAATTATCAATTCAGCAATTCACAAATTTCAGCGCATTTTTCTTGAATTTCTTATATTTTTTTTTTTAATTTTCTATTGAAATATTTAATTTACATTTTTTCTATTTGCCTAAAAATTCTGAGTTAACTAGGTAAAAAAAATTATAAAAAAGCTGAAAAGATTTTAGTATTATGAACTTTAAATCAGTTTTATTAAATAAAAATATATTTTTTTCAACTAACTTAATCTCCTTAAAGTTTAATCTTCATATTTTGCCTCCTCTCCACTACATGACCCTCAGTCGCTATAACATTTTAATACATTCGTAAATATTTACATAGCACCTTGGCACCTTGAATATACAAGTACATAGCTAAGCACATAGCACTGAATATTAAGTTAAGTTAAAAAGTAGATGAAGAAGAAGAAGAACAGTTGTATGTAAAATGAAGTAAAATTCAACAACTTGTTGCCCTGACAACTTGTGCACGAAATTGCCGTACATATACGAGTATTCGCGTCTCAATGGCTGCCGGCCAGCTACTATTCCCATTTGGGTAGACACTCTAGCCCTTACCCGCACATAATTCTCTTGGTTGTATCGCTACTCTTTGTTACTTTCAACTACAAACATTCTTCAACAAACTTGCAACTAAATCCCAGGCATCATCAACGCTTAGAGGCATGGCTGAGGCGTTGACAAAGCGTGGCGCAGCGTTCCAAGGTGTTGCTAAGAAGTTTCTAAGCAAACACGGATATATAAATATATACTATATTCGTATATGCAAACATACTTCTACTTTTAGTGTAAATCAAGACCAGTACAAGCGTTATCTCCGCTGCCGCTGCACTCATGCAGAGCCTAACATGTTATTTTGCATATTTCTTTTATTTTTTTAATTCTTTTTCTTTTAAATTCTCCTCTATTTTACGTACCTTACTTAGCAACCACTTATAGCACAGGAATACATTCAACTCTATGTGTACATTTCTTAGCCTGTCCATTAACCAACTATTATCCAGCTTAGCCCCTAGATTTTCTACAAAAATTGTTACGTATACGCACTGTTGATCCTTGTTCGCATAGCCTGGGTTTTATGAAACTTGATTGAATGATGAGACAAATGGAAAAATTTTATAAGTTGAAACCAATGCTAGATAGGCGTGGCACAGCCCAATTGATGATTTTTTTTTTTGTAATTGACTTCTTACTTACCACCCTTCGCTTGACACAAATTTGCTCTTCCACTTCTAATGGAGGCTAAGGCCTTACCCAATAGGTTTAATAATAGACGTACTTTCCAAATGACAGACCTTCCACTTGTAACCGATTTGTGCTCTATTTTTCAAAATTTTCACAACTTCAATTATAGACTAGGAGTAAGCTTTTAAAAGCGGTCTTCAAATATTTAATGCTTTCATCTTTTTCCGCCCATCGCTGACCACATCTGCTTTGGAAGGTGTCTTGCTGTGACCAAGCACTCGCATCGTTAATTATAGACAGAAGTGAATTTTCGGGTATATCTCTGTGTCCGAATATCCAGAACACAGTCGAATCCTTTGAGTAGAAATATAGTTTTTATCGCCACGTTTGACTTTGTATAGTTTTATTGCGGAGGTCTAATGGCAGCATGACTGCCAGAATATAAAGTAATTGATTGCCTTGAGACTGTAGATTTCCGTAGCTATTTGACGGCTTTCTTGATTGCTAAAAGGTCTGAGTCACGCTGCTCTGCTAGCCTTTTCCACATATATATTAGGTTAATTGAGACGATCAAGTATTCTTTGCAATTGACTTTTGAGCAGCAAGGAATTTTTGTGGAACAAACATTGTTCAAGCAGAAGCTGGAGTTTGTTATCCTTCCGGTAACTTTGAGAAGGATAAGAAAATATTAACTCCTATTAATGAAATTCCTCTATGAACCAGCCTCTCGTGATACGTCTGGTGATACAAGTGCTACCCAGCTCAGCTAAGTTAATTTTGTTTCTCAGCTTCTTTCGCATGTTTCACGTTTGGCTTTTCTATACGCAGCATTGCATATTCGAAAATAGTGCTTTTAAAAAGTGCCACCGGGATATGCTTTGTAGGTATCCATGTCCTTTCAAATGCAACAAAAGTCATTAGAGAAGCAACTTATCTGTCTAACATGACACCCTACCTGAAAGTGTCCTATTATTACGACGCTTATTAAGCTTATTAAGGTACTCTTTGGAAGGGCTACAGACATATGTTTTCTTCTTTTCAGTCAGTGGTGAAATCTTTCTGTTTAATTTTAAGATTTCCATGTATTTTATTGACAGTTTTGAGGAGGTACATGTATGATTGCATTGTAGAAACTTAATGACAGATTGACAATCAGAGTATGTTTGGTAGGTTGGACTAGCATTGCAGTG